GGGGGGGCTCACTTGCCATGGGCCTGAATGGAAATGCTCGTCGGTATTTTGCAATTTACTTATAATATCTCACCCCTAAAAGAGACCTCTTCGAAGAAAACCGATTTACAAGCCAGACAGATGTCCTCCTGAATATCGGCTACGTTAACCCTCGTAACTGACTGTTTTCTCTGGCACTGAATGAAAATTAAGCTGGAGGAGCCGCAGAAACGGGAAGCGGTTATCAGCCGTTTCTTACCCACGAGCTTTTCGTATTCAGTCGATCCCAACCCAGCGAAGACCATTCGTACCCAGCCAATTTAGTGGTTTGTAACCATACTGATAAAGCATCTTTTCCATGTTAAGTATGTTTAAAGGTCGGTTTCTTGTTACTGTTGATGACAGAGAATAAAAAATATCACAATTGCTTTGCGCGAGACACTAATAAGTTATCATTGTTAATTAAGAAAGTCAGTTTAAACGGTGAACTGTTTTCTTCAACGTATCACACTTACCTTGCGCTTGGCCGGCTATCACTTAGTTATTGTTATAAGGTCACTATGGGGAGCCATTTGTGCCAAAAATATCAATCGCTGGTGATAAAACTCAATCGTTAGTGCTAAAATTTCAATCGTTAGTGACAAGAATCTATCATTGGTGCTAAAATATCAATCGCTAGTGATAAAACTCGATCGATAGTGCTAAAATTTCAATTGCTAGTGACAAGAATCAATCGTTAGTGCTAAAATATCAATCGATAGTGATAAAACATAAAAATATAAATCGCTAGTGATAAAACTCAATCGTTGGTGCTAGTATCGATTTCTTATCGATTTTAACTTGAACCAGTCTCCCGCTTGTTGAGCAAAGATTCAACCATATTGATATTTTAGCACTAACAATTGAGTTCTACCACTAACGATTGATATTTTTGGCATAAATGGCTCCCCCCATATGTCACAAGTACACACAACAGAGCTTTACTTGCATACCTTACTTGTTGTACGCAATAATCAACCTCTGTGTACCGAGGTTTTCCGATCGTCACTGAATGTTTGGACGGGTAAGAATCGACCAGCGGGTTGGGGGCGAACTGATACAAACATGGTACAAAAAGTCCAAGTTTTGGTACGGATCGACTGAATGTCCGTGGGTACGAAATGACTGGATAGCTGGCCAGCGGGGCTACGATTGGGAAACTCTCCATGTTCTACCCCAGGTCTCTCACAGCTTCGCCGCTCAACGCATCAAGGCGCACACAAAACCGCGAGGTGCGCAAAAAAAGTTAGGACTGGGTCCGTTCGAAAGGGAAACAGTTGTTTATTATTTCGAGAAAGAAAGGATTCATTAGTCTTGGATAGATGCATTCAGTATTGAAATAACACAGGCACTCGGCTAAACATTTATTTTGGATGACAAGTATAAAAAGTTTCGTTTATTCACCAAATATAACAATTATACTACAACTCCTTGGGTCTATCTGACGACTTTCAGTCTAATCTGTACAGAGCATCTATGGCGAGTCTCCTCGTCAAAACAGCTCATCAAGCTGTGAGTCTGGTCGCCGATGAGAAGGTTTCTCAAACTCAAAGTCCGCATTCCACTTGTTACTGGGCGAGGATTTTAAACTCTGAAGGTGGGAAAAAAGTAGTAAAACGTCTCTGAACGATTGTGTAGTAAAAACTATAGATGCAGGCCACCATACTCGTTCATGATCGACTTAGGAGAGCGGCACAATCTTGCTCAAGAACATAAAAAGACGATCTCGATCAGAGATCGAACCAGGACATTTCGATCAGGACGCCGGCGCGTCAACCATTGAATGAACGCAATTCTCATGTAAAAATAATTCATTCCATGTAATTATTATCGAATAAGAGTCTCTTGTCATCGAAATATCAAAGATATACGAAGACATTATACCTTCCC